CACGTAAGCATTTCTTGAGTGTGTATGAATGCAGTGTCCTTTTAAAAGACCTGAAAGGTGTTTTTTGTCAGTTTGCTTCTAAATAGTTGTAAACACGTAATTTAAACATAAATTATATCCAGATAATATTGTAGCGCCTCCGAAGGCTTCTCTCACTTCTCATCACGACATGGAGTAGGAAGGCAGAGGTTGGGAGAACAATTTTTTCATGGGCCAGCTGAACCAAATTCCTCCAGGTCAACACCGTGAATCCCCATCAGAGCTGGGACAGGACGTCCCAGGTCTCTACGTTCACACTTCTGTCGGCTCCGCTCTGCTTCTTTCGCCAGTCACCAGGCTCCGAGTTAATCGATCCTTCCTCAGTACGGAGGCCAGGGGTTCTCACATTTAACCGGCTATGAAATCATGGAACCCTGGGTAAAACACAGCGTTGAGCCCACCTGCAGAATTTCTGACTCTGAATCTTCATTTCTAACAAGTTCCCAGTGCTCTGGATGCTCCTGGCTTGGGTCCCACACCTTGACGACCGCTGATGTGGGCTAACGCTTCCACCTGACTTCTTGTCCCCATTTCTTCTCACTTCCTTGGAGGAGAACCTTGACCCTACCTATGCTTTCTCCCTTGACTCACCTTTGAGCAGGGGCAGGCACAGTTGTTCCCTACAAGAACCATCATGCATGCCCTGGATGTTGACAAGAAAATATGCAATGTGCCCACACATTGGTTCTCAAGCTTTTACCGACCAACCAGAGGGACTTGATGCACGAGGGGTTTGTCCAATCCCACTGTCATGACCTTGCTGCTTCTCAGACTCCTTCAACATGTGGCCACCAAGGGGTGCCTGGGGGCTCAGTCGGTTACACGTCCGACTTCGGCTCAGGTCATGATCTGGCCGTCTGTGAGTTTGAGCCCCGTGTCAGGCTCTGCGCGGAAAGCGTGGATCCTGCTTGGGATTCTCTGTCTCCCTCGGTCTCTGCCTCTATCTCTCTCTGTCTCAAAAATAAATAAGCATTTTTTAATGTAGCTGAGAGAAGCAAAGTTTATGGAGAATTTAGAGACTTTTGTTTAGCTATTTCTCCAAATACCCAAAAAGAGTCATTCCTGGATGGAGCCAAACTAACTGAGAGCCCATGCTTGGCTACATCCTCGCAGTGACAATATGGGTAAACGGTCCACTGATTTCATTTCAGGCCTTCCAGATGTCATGCTGGAAGCGGCTTTCCAATGTTTCAGACACGGGACATACCATTTTTTTCCTACCTAGATTAGCTTACCGAATTAATTAACCCACAAACCCAAGACCGGCTATGAGCTTTGTATATTTATATTCCTGGTAGCGTTGTAACGGGTACAACCTTTTTGCAAAGCAATCTGCCAACATATACTAAGGGAAATCCAAGTGTTTTTACTGCTCTTAATATCTAGCCCAAATATGAAAAAAATTAAATACGCACATGCTGTTCATCACAGCAGTATTTCTCGTTACTTACTGGAAAGGCTAAGTAAATAATGAAATAATGACACAGAGTTCTATGGAATACAATGAAGTAATTAACAGTGGTGGTCGACAAAACTTTAGAGCAACCTAGAAGGCATAATCTAGTATTGAACAAAATCGAGGAAATAAAAATAATTGTTTGAACAATCACCAAAAAAAAAAAAAAAAAAAACCTCCTGGAATAAATGATAATGGTGTTTATACATGGCACCGTGATTTGGAGTGATTATGTCATCTGGCCTCTTTTCCAAAACACTGTGCGATGTGGTCGTATTATTTTACTACAGAAAAACACATTGAATCAATTTTCAAATGTTACCATTGAGAAGACAAACTTAAATGGTCTGAGAGGATAAACAGGCAGCCCTTAGGCCTGGGGTCAGGGGGTGTGGAGGGGTGCCAGAGGCCAACAGAAATAAACACGAGTGCAAACCTGCACAGGCAGCTACTGCTGGGTCCACAGTTCAGGGTCATGGATGCCCAGTGTCCCAGAATCTCCAAGTGTCCATGGGTCACATTGGGCTATTGGTTCAAAGCTTTTATCACCCAAATGACTGATGAATGGATAAAGAAGATGTGGTGTATATCATATATATATATATATATATATATATATATATACGCACACACACGATGGAATATTACTGAGCCATCAAAAAGAATGAAATTGTGCCATTTAGAATACGTGGATGGAACTAGAATATATTATGCCAAGCAAAATAAGTCAATCAAAGAAAGACAGATATCGCGTGATTTCACTCATATGTGGAATTTGAGAAACACAATAGATGAACATAGGGGAAGGGAAGGAAAAATAAGATAAAGACAGAGAGGGAGGCAAACCATAAAAGACTCTTAAATACAGAAAATAGGGGTGGCTGGGTGGCTCGGTTGAGCGACTGACTTCGGCTCAGGTCATGATCTCACGGTTTGTGAGTTCCAGGCCCACGTCAGGCTCTGTGCTGACAGCTCGGAGCCTGGAGCCTGCCTCGGATTCTGTGTCTCCCTCTCTCTCTGCCCCTCCCCCACTCATGCTCTGTCTCAGAAATAAATAAACATAAATTTTTTTTTTTTAAATACAGAAAATAAACTGAGAGTTGCTGGAAGCAAGGTGCCTGTGGGGATGGGTTAAATGGGGGGTGGGCATTAAGGAGGGCACATTTTAGGATGAGCACTGGGTGTCATATGTAAGAGATGGATCACTTGGTTCTACTCCTGAAGCCAAGACTACACTGTATGTTAAGTAACTGGAATTTAAATTAAAAGAAAAAAGCTTTTATCGTCACAGACCATACCCTCGTAGAACCATTGGCCCTGCCCTCTATGCTGCTGCAGTCTGGATATTTGCTGGCTGGACACTTCCATCGAGCACAGAAACCAGCCTGCAAATGCAATTGAATCACATATTTGAAAGTGGGCTGCAACTTGTCTCAATCCAGGTGGCTTTGGGTTTCAGAATCTCGGGAAGAAGATAAATACGACTGGATAAGAAGCGTTGCCAGTGTGATCGTCGCAGAGACACTTGCAGGAACTTTCCCAGCCTTCAGAGCATCATCCAGGCAGGAGGGTCGTGGTGAAGGGTGAGGGGACGTTCTGCTTTCCTTTTACTTCTCTTTCTGAAAGTGATACTTTTGAGACTAAATGATCCTGAGAAGACAATACGCTACATGGAACACAGATGTTTTTAGGTTCTCAATGATGTTCATGGATTCCTTGTCTTCGAATATGTTCTCCTACTTCTTACCAGTGGGGAAGCCTCTGATATGTTTTGCTTTGAGGGGAAGCTCTTTGATCTGTGGGAGAAGTTGTGAATTGGCTTTCCTGGACAATCTTGAGTGGGCCGGATGCTGCGGGATCCCCTGGGCTCAGCAAAATTAATCAATGGAAGGCAAATCAGAGAGCCAAAATTCCTAATCAAGACCCCATGTCTGAGGAACATCAGGGGCTTGAGAGCTCTGGGAAACCCACACCAAAGACAAACTCAGCAATGGCTGCATTTTTCCAGGGGAACTTCTTCCTCTGAAATGAGAGAAACAGTGGAAGCTCATTCAGTGGACGTGTGCTTGATTCTGCCCAACCTTGAGAAGGAATGGAGAGAATACATTCGCCATGACTTTCTTAGCCTATCTAGTCTCCATGAGCCTGTTTCATTCAGTGTTAACTCAAGGCCTTTGCAAACAGAGATTTATGCTCCAAGTTATGGTTTCTGGAAGCAACATATCAAGGCATATGCTAGTTCCTTCTCATCCTTCCTGTGCTCCTCAAAGCCTTGTCTCCAGAACTCAGGTATCAGTTTACCTACATTACCTGGTTAATATGCAAACCAGGTCAAAGCGTGGGTATTGGCCACGGTTGAAAGACCTTCAGGAGTCATCCTTTACATCCTTCCTGCATGTCTCCAGGGTTCCTACATGCCAACCAACCGATGCAGCTCTTAAGGCAATCTCTGGGCAGGGGGAACACTATTTGTGGTTTAACTCTGAGTTTTCTTGAAGGCAGAAAGTGACTTTTCCCACTGTCCCTTATGAAGTCCCCCCCTGTGCAGTCCTCTTGCTTTTTTCTAGGCTCGATCTTTCCAGCCTCTTAATCATTTCTGGAACTATTCCCAATACTTTCTCTGGCCTCCCTAAATCTCTCCTAAAAGCTTTCCTTTTGTATTAAATGAAAGCAAGCTGAAACATTACTTGGACCCAGAAGTCTCTAGCTTTGTACGGCCTGCAATTTTTCAAGAATGAAAAATAATAATAATAATAGGACCAAAAAACTTCCTTGAGGAATGAGTCAGAGGCATTAAAGTCACTCCCCGTGCAGTGGATTGTCTCCATGGGCTCGATGCCTTGGCCCTCCTCTAGACATTTCACATACTGGGAAGAGGTCTGACATGTTAGTGCCTTGGGACCCTGCCACAGTTTACGGAAAGCACCGTCGCCTTCAAAAGCCTCTGTGTTAATCAAAGGTGATTAAAACCAGGTCTCCACCCAGGGCGTTCTTTCACAGTTCTGAACACGTAAGGAAAAGCAGAGATTATCTGGCCTGCTCAGCAGAGATTTGCTCCTTTCTATGAAAATATACATGCTGACAAAACAGCAGCTGGAGATTTATGATTTGTCTGATTTGATCACCTTTCAGCACAGGGAAACCTGGCTTGTATACTCCCATTAGAAGGCCTGTCATGGGAGGTGTCAGGGGAGATAAGGCCCAGCCAGCCTGGGACCCAGACTAGAGATCAAGCTCAGATGTTACCTTGAACATCACCTTCAAGATCCAGTTTGAACGCTCCAGCCCCCCCGGCAGACCTGGCCCCCATCCTCTGTGCTCCTGCAACTCTTTGGTTGGTTGTCTTACGGCACATTGTGGGGGTCTGTTGTGATACAGGCATCTGTCCACCCCACCCAAGAGACCGAGCGTTCCTTGTATCTCCCTTGAGGGTTCATTATGCCTCTCCTGAATCACTAAGAAGACCAAGAGAGCTTCTCGTTCTCTTAAAGAGATGTAAAATGGGAAGAATCGGCACCTTCATTTCCATCTAGACACAGAAGGGTTCTCCAGGCTGCTGACAAGGCAGTTAACTGCAAAATCCAAAGAGGTGGAATTCAATCAAAGAAGTCCCAGCTCATGGAGATGGAAGGTGCTGGAAGCCGGAGAGGTGAAGAAATGCTCGTGCCTGGTGGTTTCAACCATCGAGGAACACCCACCTGCTTTCCCAGAGAGATCTTTAGGAAAGGGTGCTTTCAAACCTGCAGAAATCAGAAATATGAAAATTAAAACAATGAGATGTTATTTTCTCCTTTTAAGTTTATTTATTTATTTTGAGAGAGAAAGAGAGTGAGAGTGTGAGCGGGGGAGGGGCAAAGAGAGAGGGAGAGAGAATACCCAGCAGGCCTGTGCTGTCAGCAGGGAGCCCGATGAACCATGAGATCGTGACCTGAGCTGAAACCGAGAGTTGGACGCTTCAATGACTGAGCCACCCAGGCGCCCCCAGGTTTTTAGGTAATAAACATTTTTCATAAGCAACAGTAGAGAAATTCTGACAGTTTTTCTCATACACAGCTTTGAGTGTTTGTGGGTATTTAGTGTGTGTGTGGGGGGGGGGTGTATATTGTCACACGTTTTTCAAAAATCAGAATATATTCAAGGACGGTAGCCAGAGATATAAACAAAAATATATGGTCTAATATATTCATTGAAGGTTTATTTTTTAAACAAGAAATTGAAAATAACATTCAACCGTGCAAGAAATGTGGTGATGTGCCAGTGTATGTTAATAGTACACAGTAGTAACGAGGAAAGGTCGAAATTTCAGTGGCTTAACACAACAAAGGTTAGTTTCTCATTGAAAGTCTAGTGTCCTTTGGGCATCTCCATGGCGCCTTTCCTCCAAGCAGTGACTCTCAGATCCAGGCTGTTTCCATCTGCCTTCTGCCATCCGCCATTACTGTTAAGTGCACTTCTGTCCACATCCCATTGTTCAAACCTCAACCTGCTGGTCCAATCATACTGCAAAGGACATCTGGAAACACAGAGTGCTCAGCAGAGGAAATGGCACAGAGAACCCTTGGCAAAAGTGCCACAAATCGCTCGGTGAAACGTTGCGCGTTCAGGAGAGGGAGCATCATGCAGCCAATAAAAGCAAGCTCTCTCCGGGCGCCTGGATGGCTCAGTCAGTTAGGTGACTGACTCTCAATTTCAGCTCCGGTCATGATCTCACAGTCGTAAGATCGAGCCCAACGTCGGGCTCCGTGCTGGGCGTGAGCCTGCTTTAGCTTCTGTCTCCCTCTCCCTCTGCCCCTCCCCACCCCCCTCTCTAAAAAACAAACAGATAAGTAAGAAGAAGCATTTTTAAAAACATATCCTCAAAGAGTGTTTAATGAGATGTGAACGTTTTCACAGCAGGATGGTAAACACAAGGGAAGTCACGACATAAGTATTGTCAGTGCATTATCCCAGTAGCATGCATACGTGCATATGTGTGCATGTAGATGTGTGAACGCACTTAATACCACTGTGTTAACCGGCTTGTTTCTATGTTGATGTAATTTTTTGTCTTCATTCTTTTTTGACTTTTTCCCCGATTTCTTTTTAGGAAGCGCACATCATTCTCAAAACTGAAAAACTAAGTAAAAGTTGTTGATTCAAGTGTAATTAATACGTACGCTACATATAACACATGTAACAAATTATCATTGTAAAGTTGCTTTGAGGGAGGTAGGCCTGTAAATACAGTTATGCAAATGCTTAGGCCGAGATTGGGAGACTTTTCAAAGTATTCCTCCAGCCCCCGGAGAACCACTGCTGAAGTGAGTTGTTGCTGATGGGAATATATATGTTAGCGAAGCAGAAATTTTACGGAATGAACTGATAATACGATATCCTGGCAAAAGAACCAGGTTTGGCGCTGGAAGACGTGGGCTATTTTTCACACTTTCACACATATTCTGGCTCCAGGGAAAAGAAACTTCACCTCTCGAAGACTAAGTGTTTTCTCCAGGATTGTCCTGAGTACACAAAACATTGTTTCCAAAATGTGTTCTTAAAATATTCGGTGATGAAAGCATTCCATAATTTAGGGACTAGCTGGATTAAGTCAGGATAAGCAGACATCTTTACTGCAGGGCTCACTGAGCTCTGAATACACTGATGCGCTTTCTGGGTCTCCAAGTAGCAGATATAATTACTTGGCCAAAGAGCACTTTTTCTAGGAATGTCTTATGGAACTAGATCTCTGATAAGCACTGTGGAAAAATGTTCATTCACTGAGACACTGAAGTTAAAAGGATGTAACTGTAATATATTAGCGCCTGTAAGGATTTGTTATTTTTCCATTTTTAATTTTCCATTGTTTCCATTTGTAGAACAAAAGGTCATAGAGCAGGGTCTCGGCTCGAGCCTGTGCTATGTTTGTTCCATGGTTCAGCCTTGGCACATCTGGAGGACTACAGAGAAGGACTGTCAGGGACTGTCTACAAGAAGAACCAGGATGCGCCACATCCTAAGGAAAAAAAAAAAAAGACCATGGAAATAGGCCTGGAATGGTTCGGAGCAGACACTTGCAATAAGGCTTTGTCCCAACTGCATGCACAAGGTGTGAACAACACTGAGTTCAGCCAGTCAACACGTTGGGACATATCACAGGCACCGGGAGAGATGTGCAGGCTCATGAGAGGCAGGAAAGAGCAGACACTACATGATAGTCCAGAAAATGCGTGGGTCTCCCAGAACTGTGAGGAAGGAGATAAAGGGGACTAGAGATTCTTCAAAGTGGGAAGGGCAGAACCTTTACCCCTGCTGGGTGGTCCTAGAAACACGAGTGAGAGTCAGGGTTCTCAACGGTAAGTAGGTGTATAAGTTCATGTGAAAGTGTCTAATACAGCAGCTGGGACACACAGTCTACAAAATCAAATGATGATAGGGATCAGGCAGGCAATTTATAAAATGTAATGAGTGAAGCAGATAGATATGACAATAAGGGGTGGTGGGGACTGTGGCAAATTGGAAGGCACTTGCCCCATTCATAGAGAGAACCTCAATCACCTCCAGCAGGTTGTTGCTATGCAAGAATTTGAACCCATTGATGTCAGTCCTCAAGTTGTTCTAGAAAAGCCAGAAATCCAGGTTTTTAAAATAACATGTGCCCGTGGCCAGTTGTACCCCGAATTTTACTACTTGCGAATGGGAATTTCCACTTGCTCAGCTAAGCCTCAGTCACCTTTTACTCCTCTCACACTCCACATAATCCATCAGCATGACCTCACATTTCTATTTCCAATATATGTCCAGAACCTGCCACTTGTCATGACCTCCACCTGGTCCATACACCACCACCTTTCCCTGGATTTCTACACTAGCCTCCTAACTGGTATCCCTGCTTCTTCCCTTGGCCATCTACTCTACACTCCACACAGTAGCTACAGTGAGCTTGTTAAAAAACCCACATGTCCTCCTCATTCAATGGCTCCTCATTGGACGCAGGATAAAGGTCGAAGTCCTTACGGTTTCTTGCAAAGCCAGCCCTTACCACTCAATCCCATCACCTCTTTCCTTTCTGTCCTGCTAATCTGCTCCTTTCTCACTTGGCCCCACTCACAACGGTCTCCTTGCTGACATCCCAAGAATGCTCCCAGCTCAAGGAGCTGGAACTTGCTGTTTGCCCTGTATAGTCTTCGTCCGGTTATCCATAAGACTTTCTCTCTCACCTCCTTCTCTTCTCTGCTCAAATACCACCTTGTCAGTGGGCACGTTCGCCAGCTCTCTTTATCCCCTTTCCGTCATTACTTTTCTCCCTAACACTCACTACCACCTGCCACTCATTACGTTTTCCTCATTTATGTCTTCATATTATGTCTTCCAAAGTCAGAATGCCAAGTCTTCAGGAGGAAAGGAGTTTGGCCGGTCTTGTTCAGTGCTGCGTTGCCAGCCCTCAAGAGCTTTAAAAAAATTGTGGCAGGAAGAGAGGGAGAAGGAAGAATGAGCAAACAGTCAACAGCAATGTGCTGACTCACTGAATGAGAATCTATAAAATGGCTGCAAGGATAAAGTTCTGGTCCTGGACAAAGAACAGTGTGAATGAGCTCAGAGGGGAAGGGCCAGACCCAGGAACATGGCATTTTTCTTGGTGTGAAACCGCCTCATTCACATCCCTCCAATGTGAGCATCTCCCATCAAAACTCTGTAATCAGCCAGCTAGCACCAAAAGGCCAGTGATCTCCTGGGTGTGGAGGAAAGCACCCTGGCTGGGGGCCGGGAGACTCTGGGCCAGTAACAGCCACACTGGACCTGAGATTTTCCTGCTGTGGAACAGGATGGCTGGCCTCTCTCACGTTTCTTAGAGTTCTGCTACCATAAGACATTAAGATTCTAAAACTCTTCAGGAACTTAATATTATGTGTGTACGTGAGATATTTCTATTTGAAATCAGGACTCTGGAGATGAAGAAGATTCACTGCATGTAAGACACTTTGGTAGTACTCTCTTGTGTGTTAGCGTCCAACGATCAGTATGTCAGGCCAACAGGACAGATTTGGGGATCCCTCGTCGTGGATCCCCGGAATACGTTCTCATGTAATTTCTTAGTTAATCAGGGACTGCTGACAACCAGTCCTACAGGGAGACATTGAGGCATAGAAAGGTGAAGCAAGTGTTCATTCGGATGGGGTACACACGCAGCTAACTCAGCCTCCTACATCGGACCCAACTTCAGTGACTACTTGGACGTGGGAGGCACAGACTTCTGAGAGGTGGTGCAACTTCAGAAAAAAAGACAGAATTAAAAATTGCCACAACTCCAAAATTTTAAAACTACTAATAAAGAACAAATACATAAACATAAAAATTGCCACAGCTCTTTTCTTTCTTCACCAACTATGGTCTAAATTATAAGCAGCCTTTGGAAGATGGCAGGAGTGACAGACAAGTACCAGGTGGAGACAATTAACGCAATGTCCTATCAGCCCAGGTGGCTCCAGGCCCGGGCACTCCTTCTCCATCCACCAAACCATCATGATGGATAAGGAAGGCCTGTCCCCAAAAGACTTGAGATTCTTGAGATTCTAGGTCATGCCCTCATGTCACCTTTTAAGAAGAACCAGCTTGAGGCCAAAAGGCCTTCTTTGAAATTATGTTCCCTACCCAAAGGGGACTCTCCAGGATCACTCTGGGCTGTGACCAGAGGGTTCACGTAATATGGAACAGAATTAGATGTCAATGGCGCGAGGTCTTAGTGCTGTCATTGTTTTAACTC